CCTCCTCCTCCTCCCCCTCCTCCCCTCGGTTGGCTCCTCCCTCATCCCCAGACCTCAGCGGCACCGTAACGGGTACACCTCAGTCGTTGAAAGTAGGTATTTCTGGATTCTGAGATCCCGATCCATTTCCAAGCGCTTGCCTACTTCAAGAATCGATGTGTGTTTGCTGTGTGTTGTCACTCTCTGTGTGGGCCCGATCCCAATCTACTTTATCCGCCTTCCTACTTCATGTTCCTACCTACTTCTTCCGACCGGTGGGTACTTTCGAAGATTTGCCGAAAGTTGTCATTTTAGGGCCTTTTTCTGGCAATGCAGCGCTGTCCACAGCGGGCAGGGTTCGGTTCGCTGGGTCACAGGCCACCGTACCCGTTAGTGGAGTCCCCGTTAGATGGGCGTTGAAGACCTCCATCGTCTTGGAAATATTTTGGCGGAGGTTATGGTCCCCATTTTTGGGCGTCCAGATGTCACCCTCGGGCCACAGGACCGTGAAGCAGTTTCCCGGGATCGAAGGGCTCGGCACTACTGGGGGCCCCGCGCTGATGAACATATACATCATTGGAGGTACGGGTCGTCTGGACTATAGAGAACGAAAGAGCAACACGAGCAGACGGCAGGTGCGTGCCGCGCCGACGCGGCAGTGACCCCGCTGCGGACGTTCAAGATCGAGCGCCGCCAGTGGCCCAGAATCGGCCAATCTGGAACGAGCCGGCGATCGAAAAAGTACCGATCGTTCACGGCTGAACGACCCTCGCCCCCAGGACGGAGCTCGAAGCCCAGCTTCTGGCTTCTGAGATGCTTGTGCCTCGACCTCTGGCGGCCACGGCGCTGGGCTGGTGCGCAGAAGGTGGCGCATCATTCGACCGACCTCTATACCCCTCCACATCCCGATCCCCAGCATCCCACCACCCCAGTTGGGGCCATACCCCTCTGAACCCGAGGCCTGGCATCGCTCGGACGTGTGCAGTTCTCGGCGAGGACCATCGAGGACCATCCTGGACCATCGAGCAAAAAAAACAAGCACGAAACCGAAAAAAACACGGTAAATGGACGTCCGAGCGATGGCGAGGAGGGGAACAGCCCCTGGGACCCGGTTCAGGCGATCGCAAACATGGATCCAAGGGACGTGGATAAGCGCCGGGCCCCACTTCCTCGGGAAATCGCGGCATTCCGCCGCCGAGCGGGGCGTCACCGGCCGCATTTTGAGAGGGCACACTTCCCCCGATCCATGGATTTGGCGACCGCGCGCCAAATCCATGGATCGCAAATCCATGTTTGCGCGCTCCCGAGAGGTGGGGGTAGGGGGAGTTGTTGGAGGAGGAGGAGGAGGAGGAGGAGGAGGAGGAGAAGGGGGAAGAGGAGGAGGAGGAGGAGGAGAAGGAGGAGGAGGAGGAGGAGGAGGAGGAGGGCTCCGAGGAGCGGAGGGATCCAGGATCGAGGAGGATCGAGGAATCGAGGAGGACCGAGGAATCGATGAGGATCGAGGATCGAGGAGGATCGAGGATCGAGGAACATCGAGGAATCGAGGAGGATCGAGGAATGGATCGAGGAATCGAGGAGGATCGAGGAGCATCGAGGAGGATCGAGGATCGGGGAGGATCGAGGGGTTGAGGGGTCGAGGAATCGAGGTGGAGCGTCCGGGGAGAGGCCCCCGCCCTCCCGTGGGCGCTCGGAGGGCCTCTCTCCACCGCCGCGGGCCCCCCCCTCGCCGCAATCCCCCCTGGGGTCAGGGCCTCAAGGGACGGGGCCCAATGCAGGGCTCGTTTCGATTCCTCCGCTTCGAGTCCATTCGATGTCGATGGCCTCCGATTCCGAGTCGATTCGACTCCGGATTCCGATTCGGGCTCCGATGTCTCGATGGAGGCCTATTAGTTTGCCGATATCCGTCGATTTTTCCCGACTCGGCTGCCGATTTCCGCCGATCCGACTCATTTCGATCGTCGGTCCAACTTATCGGTTCGATTCTGGGCTCTCCTGCCAATGCACAGGGGGGTCAGTCAGAGCGCCAGATTTTACAGGATCTTGCAGAGCTCGGGCGAGTGGTAATGGGGGGTGACCTAAATGGGGGTGGAGAGAAGAAGGGCCCAAGGGGCCCTTTTAGAGCGCACCAACTGTCTCCAAAAGGGCCCCTTTTAGGGATTTGTTCTTCACCCCCCATGTGGGTCATCTCCCATTACAGTCCGCCCGAAGAGCCAGGGCTGCACTGACCCGGGTTAGCGTGCAGAATCTTGCAGGATCGTGCAGGTCTTTGCAAGGCCTGATTGACCCGGGCTGGGAGTGACCCGGGTCAGCAGATGCCCGGCTTGGGTCGGGGGTCCGTAGGGGGGAGGTCATCTCGAGGTGTGGTCTGGGAACATACCCCGCTGGATACTCAATGTGTTTCTTTTTACTCGTGTCGTTTTGAGCGATCTTCCTCTAATTTAGTGATGTCCCAACCTACTTTAGCCTTGAGCACGAGAAAGAGCTGCGAGCACCAACAAAGTACCGAAACAGATTGGTTTTCACGTGTCGGGCTCAGGAGGCGAGATGCTCCTTCGGCACTTCGCTGGCACGTCGGGTATACACTGTGTTGATACTTGTCTGGGCGCTTGTGAAATTATTTCATGGGAGATGGTCCTTGAGTGCGACGGGAGAAGCACAGCTCTAACCCCGCTTCTGCCCCTAACCCCACCTTTCCGTCTCCCCGCACCCCCCGGGGCAGCGCAAAAGGTCGCGTCGGGCGGAGAGGCCGGCCGCGGGTCTTCGCCAGGCTGTCTGCGTCGTCGCCTTGCCGCGCAGCAGCCGCACTCGGAAGAGCTTCGGGGGGGCACAGGGGCAGGAGGCAGAGGAGGAGGAGGAGTGGAGGCCCAGGGGAGGAGGAGAAGGAACAGGAGGAGGAGGAGGAGGAGTAGGAGGAGGAGTTCTTCAGACGACACCCTTGCCACCAGTATCCTCGCCTGTCGCGGGGCTTCGGCCATGCCGATGCAGAGTCCACACCAGAGGCGCTTGGATTCAGGAAGGCTGGAAAGTTCGTGGTTCCCGGTGGCGGTGGTGCTCGCAGGTTTTCGGACGCGTTCGGCGGTTTTTGGGGGCCGGAATCCTTCCAGGAGCCTCAGCCCGACGAGAGCTTCAAAACGGATTGGCCCTCTGTGGGCCACGTTACACGAGGAGCAGTTGGAGCGGGACGGGCTGCAGGAGTGGGCGGAGGAGGGCTAACAGTTCAATTTGTCCGACCCCAGCGAGTCTTCCTCCAGTTCCTTCCGCCTTTGTGGGTATCTGTCGGTCGGTTGTCTCTGACGCTCTCAGGCCCCGACGTTGTCCAAGCGCGGACATTGCCTCGTGTGTCTGTCATTTGATTTCCCCAGCTTCCAAAGTGTTTCCGGCTTTTCTGGAGCGAGACTCTTGGCGGGCGCCGCAGTAGACCCACCAAGAGCCGCTGGCGCAGCAAACTATACGTGTGACGCCGCTCGACCGTCCCTGACCTCCTCATGGGAGGGGAAGAGAGCGCAGGGTAGGGCCTTTCTCCCTCCAGCACCCACCCACCCGTTCAGGTCAGGGGAAGGCCCCCAGATGAAGAGGACTGGTGCGGGGGTCGCCCCCCCCCCCCCCCCTCCGAACCTCCCCCTCGAAAACTGGGGAGGTCAACTACCGGTTCGAACCCCCCTCTCCCCCCCCCTCGAAAACCAGGGGGGGTCACTACCGGTTCGACCCCCCCCCCCCCTCGAAAACCGGATGGGGGGTCACTACCGGTTCGAACCCCTCTCCACCCCCCCCACTCACCGCCAGCAAACGACTCCCGGTCCCTACCACCGTCC